CGCTCTGTTATTCTTTTCCGTCGCCTGTAAAGGGAGCGCCTGTCTCTTTCTATTTTACATCTACTCCTCCTTTTTCTTAGAGGAATAAGCCTTGTGCATACATCGAGCGCCACCAAGTTAATCTGTTCTAGGCACAAGTTGGGGTCTGTGTTGCTTAGTATATCTTCCCAGCTTATATCAGTTAGGACTTGGTTTACTTGGTCCCACTTTGTTTTTGTTATTGAAGTTGAATTTGGTGAATGCTCCCTTATTATCAACGCACTGAAAAACAAGGCAGGAGATTTAAATACCTTACCACCCTTTATATACAAAAAAGCATCACAAGTACTATCACCAATCATTGCAACACTCTTTAACAAATCCATTGAATCCTCCACCTTCCCTACAGTTCTCAAAATAGCAAGGGTCACCCCGATCCATAAAGGAGGAGACCAAACAGAGTTGAATAACTATAGGCCAATATCCAATTTACACCCTCTCTCAAAAATCTTCGAAAAATTAATTCATAAACGAATCTACTCCTACCTCATCTCCCAAAACATTCTCAACCCCTGCCAATTTGGATTCAGGCCTAATAAAAATACTAATGATGCTATTATACACATGCTAGAACATATATACAATGCAATAGAGAAAAAAGAAGTCCCACTGGGGATCTTCATTGACTTACGTAAAGCTTTTGATACAGTTGACCATGACTTGCTCCACGTAAAATTGTCACACTATGGTATTAGAGGGCACTCCCTCAACTACCTCAAGTCTTACCTCAGCAACAGAAGCCAATATGTGTACGCAAATGGGGCAAGCTCTTCCGCACAACCAATTACAGTTGGTGTCCCACAGGGAAGTGTCCTTGGCCCTCTTCTCTTTCTCCTATACATAAATGACCTACCAAATGCTTCGCAATTACTCAAACCCACACTTTTTGCAGATGACACTACATACGTCTTCTCTCACCCGAGCCCAGTCACGCTAGCCAATACTGTAAACACCGAATTACAGAAAATATCTACTTGGATGAGGACTAACAAACTTACACTAAACATTGACAAAAACCTACTTCATTCAGTTTGGTAACAGAGCTACAGATGTACCTCTTAACATAACGATAAACGGATCACCTATCACAAAGCTAACAGAGGGAAAATTCTTAGGAATCCACCTCGATAATAGACTCAAATTTCATACACATGTACGACAAATTTCTAAGAAAATTTCCAAGACTGTAGGCATACTATCGAAGATACGGTACTATGTTCCACAGTCAGCCCTCCTGGCCCTTTATCACTCTCTTATTTACCCCTATCTCACCTATGGAATTTGTGCATGGGGCTCAACAACAATTAACCATCTCAGACCACTAATTACCCAACAAAAGGCTGCAGTTAGAATGATAACAAATTCTCACTACAGGCAACACACTCCACCAATATTCAAAACACTCAACCTACTCACCATACAAAACATCCATACTTCTTATTGCACCTATTACATACATAGAACACTTAACTCTGATATTAACCCTCCCCTCAAACATCTCCTTGCCAACCTCAACAGAACACTTGACCATAACACAAGGCACAGATCACTCTTTGATGTTCCTCGTGTCCATCTCACGCTATGCAAAAACTCAATGCACATAAAAGGCCCTAAAATCTGGAATTCATTACCTGTAAATATAAAAGAAACGCTACCTGTTTACAAATTCAAGTCTCTTCTCAAAAGTTCACTTACTCAAAACCAAATAAATACTGAATAACTGAACCTTATAAATTGTATATCCAAAATGTTACTCACAATTATATCACATAAATGTTAAACCTAGGACCCAATCTAACTTTATTTTTTTTTAATACACTACCAAACAGAATACTCCATTCTACTCAATGTACAACAATGCATGCAACCATATGACCTGTCTTTGTAATACTCACTTGTGCTTTATAGTAATCTGTTTACAATAATGTCTTATCACTGATTTCATCATTGCTTAGTTAATCTTAAGTTAATTTTAAGCCAGCCCGTAATGCTATGCATATAAGTGGCTTTGGCATGCTGCTCTTACCTGTATTTTTTTGTACCTCTGTATGTGTGCTCAAATTGTTAATAAATAAATAAATCATTGCACCAATTACTCGTGTTTCCTCCTGCCCCCACCCTCCTATAACCACAAACTTCTGCCCCACATTCTAGTACTGCATTTTTAAAACTATTCCAACCCTCTTCAACCTCTCCACTACTCATACTTGCACCAGCCCACCTTTCTGCCAATAGTTGCTTATATCTCACCCGAACTTCCTCCTCCCTTAGTTTATACACTTTCACCTCTCTCTTGCTTGTTGTTGCCATTTTCCTCTTTTTCCCATCTACCTCTTACTCTAACTGTAGCTACAACTAAATAATGATCCGATATATCAGTTGCCCCTCTATAAACGTGTACATCCTGGAGCCTACCCATCAACCTTTTATCCACCAATACATAATCTAACTACTTTCATTACATGCTATATCATTCTTTGTGTATTTATTTATCCTCTTCATAAAATATGTATTACTTATTACCAAACCTCTTTCTACACATAGCTCAATTAAGGGGTCCCCATTTTCATTTACCCCTGGCACCAAAAATTTACCTACTACTCCCTCCACAACATTTTTGCCCACTTTAGCATTGAAATCCCAAACCACCATTACTCTTACACTTGGTTCAAAACTCCCCACGCATTCACACAACATTTCCCAAATCAATCTCTCTCTCTCTCTCTCTACACTTCTCTCTTCTCCAGGTGCTTATACGCTTACTATAACCCACTTTTCACATCCAACCTTTATTTTACTCCACATAATCCTTGAATTAATACATTTATAGTCCCTCTTTTCCTGCCATAACTTATCCTTCAACATTATTGCTACTCCTTCTTTAGCTCTAACTCTGTTTGAAACCCCTGACCTAATCCCATTTATTCCTCTCCACTGAAACTCTCCCACCCCCTTCAGCTTTGTTTCACTTAAAGCCAGGACATCCAGCTTTTTCTCATTCATAACATCCACAATCATTGCACAACATCCATGCACATTCAGACTTCCCACTTTGACAATTTTCTTCTTCTTATTCTTTTCAGTAATTATTACAGGAAAAGCCCATTGTTCCCGGCATTTTAGTAGACTTTTACAACGTGCATGGTTTACGGTGGAAAGATTCTTATTCCACTTCCCCATGGATATAAAAGGAAAAGTAATAAGACCAAGAACTATTAAGATAAAACCAAAGAAAACTCAGATGAGTGTGTATAAATAAACATGTACATGTATGTGTAGTGTGACCTAAGCGTAAGTAGAAGTAGCAAGACGTACCTGTAATCTTGCATATTTATGAGACAGACAAAAGACACCAGCAATCCTACCATCATGTAAAACAATTACAGTGGACCCCCGGTATTCGATATTAATCCGTTCCTGAGAGCTCATTGAATACCAATAATATCGAAAACTGAATCAATTTTCCTCATAAGAAATAATGGAAATCAAATTAGTCCGTGCAAGACACCCAAAAGTATGAAAAAATTTTACTACATGAAATATTAAGTTCAATGCAATAGAATAATTACAACAACAATAAAATAATTGACACTTACCTTTAATGAAGATCTGGTGATGATTGATAGGATGGGAGGAGGGGAGAGGTGTTAGTGTTTAGAAGGGGAATCCCCTTCCATCAGGACTTAATGCAACTGCCTAGCCTTTTCACAAATGATAGCTTGAGAGATGCTATCTCCTGCTATCTGTTTGTCATTTATCCACACCAATAACAATCTCTCAACATTTTCTAACACTTGTGGTCGCTGTTTCATAATCACAGTTGCACCTTTTGCAAGAACAGCTTCCTTGATTGCCGTTTTCCTGGTCACTATGGTAGAGATGGTTGATTGGGGTTTATTATATAACCTAACCAGCTCCGACACACGCACTCCACTTTCGTACTTTGCAATTATCTCTTTCTTGATTTCATAGGTCATTAGCGACTTTTTTCTCGAAGGGTTGGCACTAGAAGCTTTCTTGGGGCCCATGGTGACTTATTTTGCAGAAACGAGCACCAAACAGTGATAACATGGATAATATGGAATGTACTGAATGTATCCTTAGATGCGCTCACACTGGCTGGCTTGTAAACACTGGCACACATGGGGCAGTTCAGGCCACACGTGGACAGGTCTCGTACGAATCGTATCGAATACCGAGGAAAATTTTTTGTGATATAATGCATCGAATACCGGATTTATCGAATACCGATGCCATCGAATACCGGGGGTCCACTGTACAGGCTTTTGTTTCACACTCGCTTGGCAGGACAGTAGTACCCCTCTGGGTGGTTGCTGTCTAGACAGGGTGTGAATATAATGACAAGAATCTGTAGTTTGGAGATTAGGTAGTGATGTGAGATTACCAAAACTATTATCCAGAGGGCTGAGGAGGGATTATTGAGATGGTTTGGACGTGTAGAGAGGATGGAACAAAATAGAATGACTTAGTGTATAAATCTGTAGTGTAGAGAAGGTGGGGTAATGGTCGACCTAGGAAAGGTTGGAGGGAGGGGGTGAAGGAGATTTTATGTGCGAGGGGGTTGGATTTCCAGCAAGCATGCGTGAGAGTGTTAGATAGGAGTGAATGGAGATGGATGGTTTTTAGGACTTGAGATGCTGTTGGAATGTATGCAAAGTAACATTTATGAAGGGATTCAGGGAAACCGGCAGGCTGGACTCGATTCCTGGAGATGGGAAGTACAGTGCCGGCACTCTGAAGGAGGGGTGTTAATGTTGCAGTGTTATAACTACAGTGTAAGCATTCCTCTGGCAAGGCAGTGATGGAGTGATTAAAGTTTTTCTATTTTGAGCCACTTTTTCTTGGTGGGAAACGGCTGATGTGTTAATAAAAAACTAAAAAGAAAGTTGCCTTGTGAATGAGTACTGTATATATTATAAATGATACATTTAATTTTTCAGCCCAGATGAGGAGCGGACAAGAGTGAGAAAACAACTTGTACGACAGTTTCAAGAAGTACTGGGTGTGAACTATGTTTTTGATGGTATGCAGCTTTATCTTCCCATAAAACTTGGATCAGAGGTATGTTATGCAACTCCACAACAAAAATTTTAATTTTTTTGAAAGTGGTGATGCATTGTCCCTTTTGTTTTTAGCATCTAAGTTGTTTGAAATATGAAAATAGTAATAATAATAAATGTGAGCATAGTACAGCCTCTTTTCACTTAGTGATGCACTCATTTACTGACAACTCGGACCTACGACCAGCTCTCTGACCAGTGTGTGTACCTAAATAATGTACTATATTAGAGCTGATTTCCTATAGAGTGGACCCTTGACCAACAATATTGGGTTATCCTAGGTTCTTTACACACATGCTGCTATGTATGATAATCTATGTAACTGTGTTTGTGTACACCTGAATAAACTAACTTACTATTCAGTATGACACTAATATCAACTCTACGGCTTATTTATCTGTCACATTTCATATAATATGACATAACAATATTAATAACATAGAAACATGACATGTATTCTTGAATGAATAAAATGTCATTACGTATGTTAGGAGTGGTGGTGATGGTGGTGGTTGTTGGGTTTATAAGGCCACTGACAGTATAAGCTGTACATAGTGGTGGTGGAGGCGGCGGCATTGTCAGTGGCTTGACTTACTTGCTACAGTGTTAATGCTACACTTTATTGCTGGCTGGCGCTATAGTCTTTATTGACTCATGCTGCTTTAGTATCATACATATCGTAGAATCACTGAAGAAGTCACATTCTCCCCTCTCTTTTCCTCTACTTTGGTACTTAGCTATGATTTCTTTCTTTAATTCTATCGTGTTTCTCACCATCTTTACCAAAGGGCTTGCACTAGGAGCTTTCTTTTGGCCCATGGTGGCTTATTTAGCAGTTGCAAGCACAAAAACAAATGGATTATTGCCTATGAACGCATGGGATGATGGTCACTCGCTGAGAGACAATACCAGACTAACTCTGAATGGTGTACTCGCCTAATTGTGGTTTTGAGGGTTGAGATTCATCTCCTGGCCCTGCCTCTTCACTGATCGCTACTAGGTCCTCTCTCTGCTCCATGAGCTTCATCGTACTTTGTCTTAAAGCTGTGTGTGGTTCCTGCCTCCACATCACTTGCTAGACTATTCCACTTCCTGACTACTCTATGACTGAAGAAATACTTCCTAACATCTCTTTGACTCATCTGAGTCTTCAGCTTCTAAGTGTGACCTCTTGTTTCTGTGGCCCCTCTCTGGAACAAGCTGTCTCTGTCCACCTTGTCTATTCCACCCAGTATTTTGTATGTTGTTATCACGTCTCCCCTAACCTTCCTGTCCTCCAGTGTCGTCAGGCCGATTTCCCTTAACCTTTCTTCGTAGGACATTCCCCTTAGCTCTGGAACTAACCTTGTCGCAAACCTTTGCACCTTCTCTAATTTCTTGACGTGCTTGACCCAGTGTGGGTTCCAAACTGGTGCTGCATACTACAGTATGGGCCTGATGTGTACAGTGTCTTGAACGTTTCCTTGCTAAGGTATCAGAATGCTATTCTCAGGTTTGCCAGGCGCCCATGTGCTGCAGCAGTTATCTGGTTGGTGTGTGTGGGAGGCTTTCTATGTTCATGGCCACTGGGGACCTGTTCCGTACAACCGCCGAATTTAGAGGGAAGTCACGAAAATAGAGCTTATATTTAGACAAAAAAAGTTACCGATAATTGAAATTCATGAAAATAGAGCCTCACGAAATTAGAGGGTTCACTGTACATCATTTAGGCATGAGAGCCAATCGTAAGTCTGAGGCATTGGTGAACGAGTACGTTGCTAAGTGAGGAGAGGCTGTTGTAGTATGTCATTGATGGCAGCTAGGCCTGCATACCTTGTACAGTGGTACCTTGACTTACGAGTGCCCCAGTGTACGAGTTGTCAGAGTTACGAGCCATCATTTGGTTGATTTTTGCTCTGAGTTAAGAGCCAAAATCCAAGTTACGAGCGAGCTTCAGATACGCCCCCACTAGTTAGCACAGCGATCGCCACAATATCCACTCTGCAATGCACGTGTTTACCTTACCGTGCCGTGTTTACCTTATGTTGTGCTTGCATTTTGTGCAGTTATTTTGCCAGATTTCTTTTTTTTCTAAAGATGGGTCCTAAGAAAGTAAGTGCAAAGGACAGTGCTGTGAAGAGGAGCATGATGTCCATTGAATTAAAGCATGAAATCATAGAGAAACACGAGCGATGTGTGTGGGTAGTGGAGTTGGTGAGGCAGTAACAGCATGGTACTGTACTTCTATGATATGTACCATACTAAAGCAGGAGGAGTTGATAAAGGCTCTAATGCCAGCGATAAAGTGTAGCATTAAGAGTGTAGCAAGTAAGTTCAGCGATTAAGCAATAGGAAAAGCCAGTATCTTTTTTCCAAGGTAAATACATACACTTTATAAAACCAGTTAATTTCTTTACATTCTCTGTTGTTTTATTATGTTTTTATACAATATTTCTTATTTATAAATACATTGTTTCAGCGTTTCTCTTACGAAACTAGTGATATAAAGCAGTTAGCTTCACAAACACTCCATTTTCTCTTATAATAAGACCTATGAAGGGAAAATATGGGAAGATATGGTCAGACCGATAATTATTTTTACCTAGGGAGTTGCCGCCACCACTTGTCACATAATGACATACTTCATTCATTCTAAAGTATGTATCATGTTTCAGTGTTATTTACATTGTTTATTATGTCATATTAGATCAGTTTTGATGATAAATAAGCCATAAAGTTGATATTAGCGTTATTTTTAAGTATTTTTTCCTACCTACTTTGAGTTTGAGCCAGGAATTCCGCTGGAACAGTTTAATGACATTTCAGTTAATTTCAATGAGGAAAATTTATTTGATGTACGAGCAAATTGAGTTACAAGCTAGGTCGTGGAATGGATTAAACTCATAAGTTAAGGTACCAGTGTACTTGTATTATTATTATAAATTTATCGATTGAGATAAAATTTGTCATTTCTCAGGTTACAGAGCTGGCTTCCAGACGAGAATCTGATGGCACAACTTATCAAGTGAAGATAAAGTTCATCAAAGAGATAAGTCCCTTAGATGCTCAGTATTTGCAGATAATGAATATTATTCTACAACGATGCCTGGATTTTCTTGGTTTCCAATCAATAGGGCGCAACTATTTTAACAGTAAAGCTGAAATACGTGATGAACGATACAAGTAAGTAAAAGGTCAAGTCCTGATTTTTTATCAAAATTTTGTTAGGTGGAAGTGAATGGCGACAAGTGGGTTTTAATTAGGGAAAGGATGGTACCAATTTTTTTCTGATACCGATACTCAATTTTAGGCCGATACTACTAGGATGATATTGATACCATCAAGATTAGCCAACACCCATCAATATTTATACAGTAAGTCCTCACTTGACGTCGTTTTCTTCAATGTCATTTTGTTATCAATATTTATACAGTAAGTCCTCACTTGACGTCGTTTTGTTCAATGTCATTTTGTTATAACGATGAGAAGAAAAAAAACATTCCCAGCTGTGGCTACTGTTTGTGTGGAGTTTGCATGTTCATTTTGAACTGCATGGTGGTAGGTGTTCCTTACAAATTTTCGCTTTTTTTTTTTTTTTCTCTTTTTTTTTTATCACACTGGCCGATTCCCACCAAGGCAGGGTGGCCTGAAAAAGAAAAACTTTCACCATCATTCATTCCAACATTGTCTTGCCAGAAGGGTGCTTTACACTACAGTTTTTAAACTGCAATATTAACACCCCTCCTTCAGAGTGCAGGCACTGTGTAAACATTTATTCCTTGATTTAACCCTGTTGCAATGAGTGCTAAATAATAATAATTGTTCAGCATGATACAGTATAAACATCAGGGGTGCTGTGCACCCCTGATGTTTATATCAGTTAGCCTGTGGTAAAATTGGTTTTGTTATACGTACATCGTTTTGCTTAAAGTCAGTTTCCAAGAACCTATCGACAGTGTTCAGCGAGGACTTAATGTACTCAGTTTTAGGATGATTTTGGTACCATCAGAATAGTAATAACGATGATGGCGGTGGCATCGATGACAGTGATAATTTCTTTGAGCTGTACAGAAAATGCAGTTAAATGTTATTGCAATAGTAGGCACAAAAGAAAGTCACTAATCGTGCAGTGCATTTTGGGCAGATAAGCATAAGGCTTACATGGTACTTAATTAATGGCTTCCTCTTGTGCAAATATATCTATTGTGGTAATTATTTTGGTACATGTGTGAGCGTATAAATCCATAGTGGAAGGAAGGCGGGGTAGGGGCTGATTATAATAATAATAATTAACCGCAGCTTCTCATTCTATACCCCAAACTTCGGGCAGGCATTCTCAGAAATGCATGCCTTGGTGGTCTGCTTGTGCTCGTGCAGTACATTTGAAACGTGCTGCATGGGGCAGGTAACAGTACAATAGAACCATGGAGAGACTTCTTGATTTTAAGCAGAAGCGTGTGATCGCTCGCCATGTCATCCGTGACGCTAAACGCACTTGCTGGCGAGATTGTCTCCACCATCACCTCTGCTTCCTCTTGAGTGTAGTCTGGAAAAAAGTACGAAAACTGAGTGGTAAATATTCTCCTGACCCGGCTCCTGTTCTGCGGGTTGCCGGTGTTGATATAGCAAACCCACTAGAGGTTGCCAGTGAAATTGGCAATCATCTGGTCCGTATTTCTCAGGGGCTCCATCTATGCCCCTCATTTCTTTCCTCAAAGTCTGCTAGAGAGTTAACACCTTTGGACTTTTCTTCTCTCAGAGAAGAACAGTATAATGTGCCTTTTACACTTCAAGAACTGGAGGCAACACTCTCAGCTTGCCGATCATCGGCAGCTGGGCCCAACGGCATTCATATTCGTATGCTACAACATTTACATCAGTCAGCCCTTGCAGTCCTATTATGCCTTTTCAATCTTATTTGGTCACAAGGAGTTCTTCCACAGCTGTGGAAATCTGCCATTGTTCTCCCTTTCCGAAAACCAGGCACTACGGGACATGAAGCCTCCCACTATCATCCCACTGCTCTGACCAGTGCAGTTTGCAAAGTGATGGAACGCCTGGTAAATATACGTTTAGTGTGGTATTTAGAGACACACAGCAGTCTCTTCACTCGTCAATATGGCTTTCGTAAGGGACGTTCTACCATAGACCCCTTACTACGCTTGGATGCGTATGTTCGTAATGCCTTTGAGAATAACCACTCGGTTATTGCCATATTTTTTGACCTTGAGAAGGCATATGACTCAACTTGGAGGTATAATATTTTGGCCCAAGCCCACTCCTTAGGCCTCCGAGGCAATCTACCATCCTTCCTTAAGAACTTTTTAACTGATAGACACTTCCGTGTTCGGGTTAATAATGTGCTCTCCTCGGACTTTATCCAAGCTGAAGGTGTCCCCCAGGGATGTGTTCTGAGCACAACACTTTTTCTCCTTGCTATTAATGATTTGACCTCTAGTCTTCCATCAAATATTTGGTCATCACTCTGTTGATGACTTTGCTATTGCCTGTGCAGGTGCTGACTGTCACCTCATTACATTTTCTCTCCAGCATGTGGTCGACCGTGTTCCCAATTGGGCCACCACACATGTTTAAATTTTCCATCACTAAAACCCACCAAATTACTTTCACTAGATGCTCTGTCATCTCCGATCATCCTTTGTACCTCTATGGCTCCCATATCCCTGAACGTGATAGTCAAGTTTCTGGGCCTCCTCTTTGACCATAGGTTATCCTGGAAACCTCACATTACCTCTCTGAAGGCAACTTGTCACAGCCGGCTGAACCTTCTTAAAACCCTTGCTCATCTTTCATGGGGAGCTGATCGTCGAACCCTCCTTCGTCTACATTCCACCCTCATTTTATCAAAACTTGATTATGGTGACCAGATCTATTCAGCGACATCTGCTACTCTCTCTAGCCTTAACCCCATTCATCACCAAGGATTACGTTTATGCCTTGGTGCTTTTCGCTCTTCCCCTGTTGAGAGCCTGTATGCAGAAGCGAACGTTCCATCCTTATCCGATCGCCGTGATGCCCATTGCCTTCGCTACTATGTACGCTCTCATGATCTCCGCAATCCTTCCATTTATAGAATGGTCACGGATATTAGTAGACATTCTTTATTTGTTCGCCGCCCCTGTTTATTCCATCCCTTCTCTCTTCGCCTTCATTCGCTCTTGTCTTCTCTTCAATTACCACCTTTCTGTGTTCATGTAGCATCTCACTTTTCCCTACCCCCCTGGGAAGTTCCAGCTGTTCGAGTCTGTTCTTTCTCTCTCCCTTGCTCGAAAGCCCAACTGTCTACGGTTGCTTCCCGCTCTCTTTTTCTTGACCACTTCCACTCTCATTCTCATGCCATTGCAGTGTACACAGATGGCTCTAAGTCTTCTGACGGCGTAGGATTCGCAGCAGTGTTTCCAGACAGTTTCGTACGAGGGCATTTACTATCTTCGGCTAGTATTTTTACTGCTTAATTGTATGCCATTCTTGCAGCACTTATCCGTATTGCATCTATGCCTGTGTCATCATTTGTGGTTGTCTCAGACTCCCTTAGTGCTTTACAGGCTATACAAAAATTTGATACACCTCATCCCTTAGTCCTCCGTATCCAACTTTGGCTAAGCCGCATCTTTACCAAGCATAAAGATATTGTTTTTTTTTGGGTCCCTGGTCATGTTGACGTACAGGGCAACGAACAGGCAGACACTGCTGCGCGGTCAGCAGTATATGACCTACCAGTTTCATATAGAGGTATCCCATTTATGGACTATTTTGCTGCAATAGCTACCCACCTTCACACCCATTGGCAACAACGTTGGTCTACTATGCTTGGCAACAAACTTCATTCTATTAAACCGAGTATAGGTTACTGGCTGTCTTCTTGTCACCAGTGTCGAGGTTGGGAGACCACACACACCCGTCTTCTCATTGGCCATACTCGTCTTACTCATGGATATCTCGTGGAGAGGCGCCCTGCTCCTCTCTGAGAATTGTCAGGTTCCATTATCAGTCAGCCACATTCTGTTAGACTGCCCATTTTATCATCACGCACACAAAATTTACCTCCGTCGTCGTCTTCGCTCCACTGCTCTCTCTTTACCTTCCCTTCTCGCTGATGGACCCACCTTTCATCCGGACTCTCTCATTGACTTTTTGACAACAACTGACTTGCTTCACAAACTCTGATACCTTCAGCCCATTCTACCTCAATCTCTTGCTATCCTCTACCCCCGCACTATCCCCTGCCCCGCTGTTTTCTGTAACCTACTGATCATCCCTCCCCCCTCCTGCCGCCCAATACCCTCACTTCCTTCCCTACCCTGCAGCGCTGTATAGCCCTTGTGGCTTAGCGCTTCTTTTTGATTATAATAATAATATCCAAAAACAAAACAATCAAATTAACAAAATCAGATGAACCCCTGCTCACACCTACTGAAACAGCAAACAGACTCGATGTTTTCTTCTCCGCCATAGGTAAAAATCTAGTGAACAAAATACCAAGCGTAAACACCCGTCCATCAGACTACCTCATAGGTACCTACCCAAATACGCTATTCCTAGCTCCAACCAACCCCATAGAAGTTACACTCATCATAAGCGCGCTTAACCCTTTCAGGGTTTCGGCCGTACTAGTACGGCTTATGTGCCTGGGCCCTTGACATACTAGTACTCATAAATTCTAGCGCCTTCAAATCTAGTGAGAAAGCTGGTAGGCCTACATATGAAAGAATGGGTCTGTGGTCAGTGTGCGCAGTGACTTTGCACTGTATTATCGTATGGTATTTATTGTTGTATTCTAGTTTTCCTGGTCTCATTTGATAGAATGGAAGACATATTACAGAAATTGAGATGATTTTGACTGGTTTTACAATGAAAAGTACCTTGAAATTGAGCTCAAAGTAGCAGAAATGTTCGATTTTTACCAAAGTTCAAAAGTAAACAAATCATGCCAAGCGTCGAATACACGTCAACAGTCTGCATAACAGTAAATCTTCTATTTTTTGTGAGAATAAAAATTCAAAATGGAAAGCAAAAGAATGTAAGAGGAGCGTGGGGATGTGACTAATGAACAGAGGAAATGTTATTTTAGTGCCAGGAATGTCTTTCTTGTTTATTCTGGACCCTATCTCACTTTCAAGGATCACAACAGTGCCACGATCGCACGTGCAAAGAAAATGATA